CGGCTCGGCAGGGCCGGACACGGCTCGGCGCAGCTCGGCATGCCACGGCTGAGCACGGGTCATGGCACAGCTTGGCATGGCTCAGCTCATGGCATGGCTCGGCACACAATGGCACAGCACAGCACCATGCTACTCAGCTCAGCTTGGCTTGGCACGGCACAGCTTGGCCCAGGGACATACACTGCGCTGCTTGGCTCAGCTTGGCACAGCCCAGCCAGCATGGTTCGACTCAGTGCAGCTCAGCCCAGCATGGCATGACACGGAGGGCTGGCACAGTTCAGTTCAGCACAGCACAGCACAGCTCAGCCCAGCTCAATTTGCCTCAGCTCAGCGTAGGATGGCAATGGGGCCAGCATCGGTTGGCTGGCCCAGCATGGCTTGGCGCAGCATGGTTCAGTGCAGCATAGCTGGGTTGGCACATTCTGGCTTGGCCCAGTTCAGCATGGCACAACACGGGGCTGGCACGGTTCAGTTTGGTACAGCATGGCACAGCCAGGAGCCTGACCTGGTTTGGCTCCACTTGGCCTGGCCCAGTTTCACTCAGTGCAGTTCAGCTCGGGTTGACATGGACAAGCAGGGCTGGCACAGTTCAGCTCGTTACAGCATGGCCTGGCCTGGCTTAGCTTGGCCTGGCACCGTTCAGCACCATACAACCCAGTTTGGCCCAGCACAATATGGTGCCGCCAGGGACCAGCACCATTAGGGCCAGCTCAGCACAGCTCAGCCTGGCACAGCTCAGCTTAGGACAGCTCAGCCCAGCATGGCAGTGCGGCGTGGCTGGTAGTTTGCCAGTGCTCACGTGAGTGCGAGGGGGTGCCTGCTCGAGTGGCAGTGGGGTGATGCAGCACCTGCCACAGCTCCCCAGGGCAGGAGGCTCCTTGCGGCACCCCACCCCAGCAATCACGCTGGCGCCCTGAGCCCCGCTGCCTGCGGGCGAGCACACGCTGCCGGCTCCTGTCTGGCCTGCCCGTTCTGGCCCCCACCCTGTCCTGCTGGGCACCGTGGGGCACGCATGGCAGTATGGCTGTGCTTCACCTCCACCTTTCCCCCACCGGGTCCAGGAGAGGCTGCTGTGCCCCTTTGGGGAAACTGAGGCAGGGGAAGGTGGCAGCAGGCGGCAGCTGGGGGCGGTGGGAGTGGATCGGCACTGGTTCCCCGGGGAGCCCAGGAGTCCTGCTCCTCCCCTTCCCGCCCGGGGCCCCGGCTCTTACTCATCTCCTTCCCAGACAGCGCAGCCAGCCCAGAAAGCTCTGCCCTGCCAGCAACGCCTGCGGCCCCCCGGCTGCCTGCAGGCTGGGCAGTGCAGCGCCGCGGCCCGGGAGGGTGGGCTTGCTGTACCAGGTTGGCGAGGTACACCCGGGGTTGCTCAGCCCCTGCACAGAAGGGTCCCGTGAGTTTTTCTTGGCAGCCCCCAGTCCACCCGTGCCTGCCTTGAACCCTGCCCAGCCCTGCCCAGCCCAGCTGCAGGCAGCCTAGTACATGTGCCCTGTCCTTGCACCAGGGGTCCCAGGGCAGTCCCATGGGGATGGGGCAGTCCCTGGGCTGTTTGTGGAGCTGGAGCCTACCCTCCTTCGCACAGCCTCGACATGTCCATCCCGGCCTGACTCTCCTGCTCTCCCCCGTGGCCCTGCCACCCCCCTCACTGTGCCCCCCACTCATGGCTGGCTCCTGCCATTCCTGGACTTTTCCCAGCTTCCACCAGGCTCGGCTGCCCCCGTGCCCTTTCCCAAATGAGTAACCAGGGCTGCCTGGCCAGGCGTGAGGGCTCTGCACCCTGGCTCATCACGTGGCCCCACACCCCATTAAGCACCTCATTCCCCCCTGCACCCCCCCATATGGCCCTACCAGCCCTTATTGCTGTGCCCGGCTGGCACTGGGAAGGGTGGGCAGCACCCAGGGCAAGGCAGGCATCAACACACCTCCCCCAGCTCCCCCTGTATCCCTGTGCCTGCACCAGTGGTTCCCAACCAGAGTGTCCACCCCCTCCAGCCCCCTCCAGCCCAGCAGTAGAGCAGCAGTGTCCTATGAGGCTGGGCACTGCGCCAGTTGCTCTGCCGGGGGCATGGGCTGCGGCTGCCCGCACCCTGCTCTGTGGTGCACCCCTGGAGTCTGCCTCGGGCAAGCACCACGGAGCCACTGAGCAGCACTGGGGCTGGGGGGCAATGTCCCCTGGGAGGGCAATGCCTCAAATGACCCGTGCCAGCAAGAGGGTGGGCATGACTGTTGCAATTCCTCAGCCTTGGGCAGGTGCTGGCAGAAAGACCTCTGAGCTGGGACTGCCAAGCCCAGTGAAGCTGCGGGCATGGTGCTGCCCGCGGTGTGGGTACCACCGGCTGACCCAGCCACACTCAGTGCCGCTGGGTTCCAGGTCGCTCTGCCCAGCTGTGTGCCCCAGTGCCGCGGTCCCTGGGCTTGATGCCCATCTCTCAGCCAGGGAAAGTGAGGCACTGGGCAGCCTGGCTGTGCCATGGGGCCAGGTCTGGGAGCAGACCCCCAGGCTCTGTGCCTGCTCTGGGCAGTGCATACCAGCTTGCAGCAATGGGCACGAAGATGCCAAGCCCACTGCCAGAGAGTTGGCATGGGGTGGAGGGGAGCTGGAGGGGCTCTCACGGCAGCGGAGCATGCCGCTGGCCTCTAGCCCCCCTCCCCTGGGACCCAGGGAGTTCCTGGCCCTTTAAACCCTGATTGGGGCCATGCCTTTAAAATGGGCCCTGGGGTCCAGGACCTCTTACCCTGCAGGAGGAGGCTGGCCAGAAGCAGGTGGGCTGAGCGAGCTGGTCCTCCCCACCCACCCCACTTCACTCTCCTTCCCCACTCCCCTGTCCTGGCACCTTTACTGCCCCTGTAGCCAGGCTCCTGGCTGGCTGGCTTTGCCCCTGGTCTGGGTTGTAGTCTGGAATTTGCACCTCTTTTTGCATAGAGCCCCCCTGCCCCCTACTTTTCTGTTCCTGTGCTAAGCTGAAGCAGCTGGCATGGTTATCCTGGCTTGATAGCAGCTGGCAGCACCCTGGGGTCTCCTTTTGCTGGTGCCTGAGACCAGCCCTGTCTTTCCAGGGGGAAGAAGCATGACTGCAGGCTCCCCCTAATCCTGCTGCCAGCCCTGCCTTGCCCTGCTCACCCCCCCCACCCCCATCTATCATGGCTTTGCTCCATCCCTTCACCAGCCTCCTCCTCCTCCTCGCTGTGCTCCTTTCCTGGGCTGCAAACCGGTCTCTGCTGCCCCCCGGCTCCCTGCCTGCCGTCCCCCCCCTGCCCCTTCTGCAGGCCCTGCAAATGCAGGCACCAGACAGCTGGGACTGGCGAGCAGGGCCAGCAAGTGGGCAGCCCCTGCGCTACATGCTGAACCTGTACCGGCATGCCGCTGACCGTGAAGGGCGACCCCGCCGTGGCCGCAGCCTCGGCACCAACACAGTCCGCCTGGTCCAGGCCGGTTCCCATGGGGGTCAGCCCTGGGCAGGTAAGGAGCAGGTGGGCACCAAGGGCGGTACGGGGACTTAGCAGAGCCAGTGGGGTGAGCTTGAGCCCTGCCTTCCTCCTTCCCCCTCTTTCCAGTGTCACAGCCAGGGCTGGCATGTCCTGTGCCCTGTGGGGCTGCCCTTGGCCATAGGATCCCCCTTGGCAGGGGGCTCAGGCTCTCCCTGCCGCAGGGGTGAGATGGGCAAGGGCATCACTAGCCCCCCATGCCCCTCTCCCCTTCCCATCCTGACTGATGCTGTGCCAGGCCAGTGGTGTTGGTGCAGAGGATGGGAATTGTCCCAGCTACTCTGCCCTTTACCCCGCCGGTAAGCTGCAGCACATGGCTGCTGCTTGCTGAGGCTCCTGCCTTGCGCTGGGGCACCTGGCTGTCGCGGGCTTTGAGGGTGGTGATGCTACAGGCTCTGCTGCGCTGTGCGGGGGCTGTGGCAGCACCATGGGAGAAGGCTGTGCTGGCATGGTGCCTGCTGTGCCATACTAGGGGGGCACTGACTGCTGCTTCCCCGCAGGTCGCTGGTATGTGCAGCCCCTCACCTACCGCCTGGAGGGCCAGCCTGATGCCGAGCACCTCCTCCGAGCCACCGTGGTCTACCTGCCCAGCCTGCCGCTGGCCCATGGTCGCCTTCTCTGTGCCCTGGAGCTGCTGACCACCAGTGAGGCACCTGCAGCTCTGCTCAGCCCTGCTGCCCATCCCCGCCATGGCTGGGCCGAAGTGGACGTCACCCCCTACCTGGTGCTGGGGAATGGCAGTGCAGTGAGCCTGGTGCTGCAGCATGTCTGTGTGCGTGCCGGTCGGGCAGGGGGCCGCGATGCCCCAGTGGCCCCCAGCCACCCCTTCCTCCTCCTCTACCTCAACGACACCCAGGCTGGCCTGGCACCTCCAGCAGCAGAGCCCCACCGGCACCGGCGTGACACAGGGACGCTGGCCCATGACCTGCCCAGCTACCTGCGGGAGCAGGGAGGGGAGAAGAGTGACTGTTCCCTGCGCCCCTTCCCTGTCAGCTTCGCCCAGCTGGGCTGGGACCACTGGATCATTGCTCCCCACCGCTACAACCCGCGTTACTGCAAGGGTGCCTGTCCCCGCCTGCTCCGCTACGACTACCATGCACCCAACCATGCCGTGGTGCAGAGCTTCGTCCATCAGCTGGTGGATGCCAACGTGCCCCGGCCCTCCTGTGTCCCCTACCGCTACAGCCCCATCAGTGTCCTCATGATCGAGCGCGACGGTGGCATCCTCTACAAGGAGTATGAGAACATGATTGCTGAGTCCTGTACCTGCCGGTAATGCCCGCTGCCCTGGCACATCACCCCCAGGCTCTGCCTGTCCCTGCTGGATCTGGACTTTAGGGTTTGTCTTGCTCTGCCTGGGGTGGGTTCGTCCCCCCTCCTTGCATGGTGCTGCTCTGTGGGAAGGTTTTACAATGGCAGTTTTATGTAAATTGTAGGTTTTTAAAGGCAGGAGCCTGTGCTGGGGCAGTTGCCCCATGGCATCTGTCCTTCCTGCAGCCCCACGGCCACTGCCTGTTTTTGGGGGGCAGGGGGGCTTCGCCTGATGCTCCCAGAGAAGAGCTGGGTCCCTGGACTGGAGCACAAAGCTCTTAATAGGTGGCTGGGGGTCTCTTGATGGAGCCAGGGCAGGAAGGGCAAGTGGTCCAGGTGTCCCCATGCTTGGCACCAAGCTGGTGCCATCAGTATCTGCTGCAACCCTGCCTGTGGGATTCCTTCCCAGCTCACAAGCACCCCATCCTGTCTAGTCCCAGCTGTAGCGGCATCTCACCCAGCTGGGAATTGGGCTGTGGGGGGAAAAGCCCCTCTCCTCCCCTGCAGTTCTGCTCTGGGGGGCTGTGAAAACTGGAGGGACCTGAGCTGCTAGCTCTGCTCCCAGTAGTGGGGGCCAGGCAGCTGCCTGTGCTGGGCTCTGCCCACTGCTTCCTCTGCCACCCCTGTCCTTCACCTCTTTGGCTTGCCCTCAAGCAGGGCTTGGGTCTCATCCTATCCCAGGGGTTGGACCCCTGTTGCGGTGTCCCTCTGCCTTCTCGCACCCTTGCTGTCCCATAGGGCTTGGGCTCTGCTGGGCTTTCGGCCTGTTCCTGGAGGGGTCGGTCCCACTCCTGGCACCCCTGCCACCTGTCTTTCCTCTATTTATTGCTGACTGTGTAAATAAATAAATTGATGGATTTTGCTAAAGACCATCTGGGCTTGTTCTTGCTCTGTCCCCGGGGTGCAGTGGGTGCCCCCGGGACAGGCTAGCATAGACTGTGTCACTGTGCAGCCACCCTTGTGCCTGCACTGGAGGGGACAGGTGCTGCTCCCTGCAGTGTGCAGGGTGTAAATCCCAGCTGGTTGAAGCAGGAGCTGGGAAAAGAGGCTCCCCTGGAGTGTAGACCTGCCCTGGTGCAGGGGAGACCAGATGTGGCTGCAGGCAGCTGCCTCAGTGGGGCTGGGGACAAGAGATATGCCACATCCCTCTATATGGGGCAGCTCCTGGGGAGCCTGGGCTGTCTGTCACTGTGGCCAAAGCATTCAGCTGCCAGGGTTATTTTGGGAAGGTGTCTGTAGGCAAACCTGCCTGTTCCTGGGCACGATGCCCTGTGTTTGCAAAGCTGGGGCAAAGTTCCCCTTCTTTGAGCAGCGAGGCATGGGTGGCAGTTGTAATCCTTGTCCCCAATGCTTGGTGGCACTGCCACCTGCCAGCTGGGTACTGCCTCTGCATCTGCAGCTCATGGCTCTTGCTAGGGTCTCATCTCTTGCTTTGCCTCCAGCCGCATCAGCCGCTGGTCTGAGCTCCATGGGGATGTTTCAGCATTCCTTCTGTCCTGTGGGTGTTTGCTGTGGGGCAGGGTGTTGCCAGCCCCCATCCCTCCCCTACCCACCAGCCCCAGACTTTCTCCCCTATCCTGGCAGAGTGAGAAGCTGCAGAGCCCCAGGCTCCTCTCCTGCCCCTTGTCCCCAGTTGGCTGCATCCTGGCCCTCTCCAGCCAGGAGGCTGTGGAGAGGGGAATGTCTTCTGCTTTTTTGGAAGCTCGCAGACTTGACCCCGCGGGAAGATTTTTCCCTTGTCAATCATTAAGCGTGCAGTGTTGACTCATCCAGGCGAGTGATGATGAAAGGTATGGGAGCTGGGCACACTCAGCTCTGGGCACCACTGGATGCCAGCGCCCGGTGCTGCACCTGGCAGGGACCCACACCCCAGCCTGCTGTGGGCACCCCTTGGACCTGCTGGGTGCCTGGAGGCAGGTGGCCACTGAGGTTTGTCTGTCCCAGCCCTGTGTCCTCATACGCACCATGCTGGTGGGCTCTTGTGCCTGTTGGGCTGGACTGCTTCCCAGGGCACCCCCAAGCACTGAGGGGCTGCTCGAGCAGTGTAATCTCCTCTGCACTGGTGGCGGGGCAGGCACTGCTAAAGGGACGTTCAGGGAAAGAGCTGCTGTCCCCGGCTGACCCTGGCACTGTGCCTGTGTCAGTGCTGGGGCTGCCAGGGCAGAGCTGGGTGGAGGGTGCAGGGCCCCAGCCCAGTGCCATGGTGCACCTTGGGGGGTGGCTTTTCCTGCAGGTCCCACAGCTGTGTGAGCCCCTCTGGCACAGCCTGGCACCCCACTGGCACCAGCCCTGCGGGGAGCACCAGGAGCCCTGGCTTTGGGGACATGTCCCCACCCTGTGATCTGGCAGGGGTCTTGCCTGCAGGGCTGCTGGCCGTGCTGGGGGCTGCACCGGCCCCCTGCTCTCCCCCAGGCCAGCCAGCACATCCCTGCCCCTTCCTGCACCACTCCCAGCCCCTTCTCCTGCCCCAAAACCCCCACTGGGGCTTTGCTCTGTCTCCACCGGGTCCCCATTCACTACCCCTCCTGCTGCCCATCCCAAGTGGGCACTGCCACCTTGCACACCCCATCCTCTGTGGTGACACCAGGCAGGGAGGGGGTGACCTGCTCCACATGCCCTAGCAGTGTTGGGGCAAATCTGGGCCAGGCATGGCATTGGGGCACCAGGTGTGGAGTTCACTCAGCTGCAGAGTGCAGCTGCCCCCCGGGCACCCTGCTGGGGGCTGTAGGTGGAGGCAGATAGTGATGCCCAGGCACCGGACACGTCATGGGTGCCCCATAGATGCCCCACAGAGTTGCTGGCAGCCCCCAGCTGGGGGGGGAGGGGGGCGCAGGGAGTGACAAGGGGCTGTCCCGCCACCTGGGGCCACTCAAATATTTGTGCAGGGCCGTGACCGGGGAGGAGCAGTGCCCAGTGGAGGCACCAGACGGTGGAGTTGACGGCACCATGGCAGCCTCAGCCCCAGTCGCACCGGACACTGGCAGAGGTGGCAGGGCCAGCGGGGCCCCCCATGCCCCCCTGAGCACTGCCACTGGCCTGGTGCTGCTCCTCTCCCTCCTCTTGCTTCTCCCAAGCTCCCTCCAGGTGGGTCCGGGCACAGGGGGTGGGCGCTGGGGGCCGGGGGGCTCAGCACCTGCCCCCCTGCCCCATCCACCCGTCTGGGTGCTACAGGAGCCCCAGGGGTCAGGGGGGCACGTGGCCCCCCGGCTGCCCCGCATGACACCGTTCTGGAGGATGGTGGGCAGTAGACCCCTGGGTGCCCACTGCCGGCACAGCCTCGAGTGCATCACCAGGGCCTGCAGGTGAGCAGAGACCCCTGCCCATCCCCCGTGTCACCCCCTGCCCAGCCTAGCCTGTGTCCCTGGGACCCTGCATGTATCTCCATCCCCACAGTGTCTCCAGCCCTGGGACCCCCCATGTGCCCCGATGCCCCCGGCTGTGGGGCCCCACAAGTACCCCAACCCCACCAGCGTCCTCAGCTTTGGGAGTTCCCCACTCTGGGACCCCCCCACCCCTACACCACTCCCCGTTGCCCTCAGCCCAGGGACCTCCCGTGCACCCCAGTCCCAGTGTCTCCCAGTCTCAGTGCCCCCAGCCTGGGCACCCCCTGTGACCAAGCCCCAGAAAAGCCCAGCTTTGCCCCCCACCCCGGGTGCCCCCACCCCAGCGATGGGATTCTGGCACAGCATTCATGGCTGCTCTGCCTCACAGGGCCGGGCGCTGTGCCCCACCACAGTATGAGTGCTGACAGCCACCAGCAACCCCAGGAAAGTCCACCCTGTACTGGGACCACCGGAGACCGGGGTGCGCCATGTGCTCACTGCCGAGACAGGACTCCTTGGCGGCCGCATGCCCCGCAGAGCTCGGCTGGGGAAGGACTGTGCCCCCAAGCTCCCTGGGGCAACACTGTGGCTCAGTCACCCCAGATGCTCTGTGCAGGCAATAAACTTGCTGCCCCCTTGCTTGCATCCAGCAGCTTCCTTCCCTTGACTGCCTGTGCAAAGACAGGTTGCACGGGCGCCAGGGCCATGTGTGCACCAGGGTGGCACATGGCATCTGCAGGCTCCTGCCTCTCACCAATGGGTGCTGGGTCTGCCACAGCACCCGCTTGGCCCCCACCCGCCCACACAGGTCCCTGGGGCAAGGGGTGCTGGGGTCCCCAGGAGCCCACCGCACCTGCATGCTGCTGGTACACCTGTGTGCGTGTGAGTGTTTGTGCGCATGCACACATGTCTACCTGTGCCTCCACATGTAGGTATATATATATATATGTATATGTCTGTGCCCGTGTGTGTGTGTGTGTGTATGATTATGTATGTGCATGGGAAGTATGTGTGTGCTTGTGCGTATGTACCTCTATGCATGTATAGATGTGTGTGTGTTTATATGTGGGTATGTATATGTGTGTACACACGTGGATGTACCTATGTGTGCATATGCATGTATTCCTGTCTCTGTATGTGTATGTTCGCATACGTGGATGTGAGTGCAGTGCAAACGCAGATAGGTGTGTGCATGCAGGCATACCTGTACGTGTGTGCAAGTGTGTGTATGTCCATGCCTCTGTCTGCATATGTCCACACCTACGCACATGTCCATGTCTATGGCCATATGCATGTCTGTGTGTCTGTCCAGGCACTCACACTGGCACACATGTCCATGTATCTGTCTGTACAATCCCACACCAGTACATCTGTCCATGTGTCCTTGTGTCCGTCCGAAGGTGCATGCTGGTACCTGTGTCTGTGTGTCCGTCCATAGGAGCACATCAGTACCTCTGTCCGTGTGTCCGTGTGTCTGTCCATAGGTGCACAGCAGTACCCATGTCTATGTGTCCATGTGTCTGTCCATAGGTGCATGCTGGTACCTGTGTCCATGTGTTCACCTGTCCATCCATAGTTGCACGCCAGTACCTGTGCCCATGTGTCTGTCCGTAGATGCATGCCGGTACCTGTGTCCGTGTGTCCATGTGTCTGTCCATAGGTGCAAGCCAGTACCTGTGTCTGTGTGTCCGTGTGTCCGTGTGACTTTCCATAGGTGCAAGCCAGTACCTGTGTCCGTGTGTCCGTGTGTCTGTCCATAGGTGCAAGCCAGTACCTGTGTCTGTGAGTCCGTGTGTCTGTGTGTCTGTCCATCGGTGCACGCCAGTACCCGTGTCCGTGTGTCTGTCCATCGGTGCACGCCGGTACCCGTGTCCCCGTGTACACCCGCGCACGTGACCCTGTGTCCGCCCGCAGCTCTGCGCGGCCTCCGGCCGGCAGGGGGAGCCGCCCGGCGTCCTCACCCCCGACCCCTCACGGGGCCGCCATGGCGGTGCGTCCTGCCCGCTCGGTAGTGAGCGCCCCGAGCGGCGGGACTGCCGCCGCCGCCAGAGAGCGCGGGGCACCGCGGGCGTGGATGCTGATCCGGAGCCGCCGCGGTGCTCGGGGCAGCGCTGCAGGGGGCAGGGAGCGGACGAC